TCTTCCCCTTGCCTTTCTTCCCTCTTCCCTTCCTTTTCTCCTCGTCCTCCTCTAGGGTTTTTTTTTCCCCAAAGGTCTCCCCTCCTTTACCCTTTTTTTTATTTTGGGGGTTTTTTACTTTAAGGGTTTAAAAAGGGGAAAAAAGGGGGGAAAACCCGGGGGATTTTTTTAGGAAAAGAGAAAAAGGGGGAACCTTTAGGGGGGAAAAAAGGGAAAAGGGGGTTAGGAAAGGGGGAAAAAAAAACGGGGTTCCCCTTTTTTCTTGCGAAATTAAAGCCGGTTTTTGGGGGTCTTTCATCTTTCCCCTTTTTGGGTCCTTTCTCCTGAGCCCCTCTCCTCTCCTTTTTCTCTCTCCGTCTTTTCTCCCTCCAAATTTTTTTCTTTTCTCCCCTCCTTTTTTTTTCCTTTCTTTTTTCTCCCTTCTTTTTCCCTCTTCCTCTTTTTCCGCCCCCTTCCCCCCTTTTCCCCGGGGGCCCTTTTTTTTCCCTTTTCCCCCGCCCGGTTTCTCCTGGGGCCCAAACCCCAAACTCGGGGTCGGGGGCCTCTCTGGGCTCCCTTTCCCCTTTTCCCCCACCCCAAACCCCCGGGGGGTCTAAGAAAGACCCCTTTGGGGCCCCTCCCCGGCGGCCCCTTCTCTTTTTCCCCCTCCCCCCCCCTTCTCCTCCACCCCCCTTTCCCTCTTTTTTTCCCCATCCTCTCCCCCAAATTTTTTTCCCTCTTTTCCCCTAATCCGGGCCCCATCTTTTTTTTTTTTCCCCTTCTCTCGTCCCCTTTCGCCCCTCCCCTTGACCCCTCCCGCTTTTTCCCTCGGCTCCTCTCCCCTCCCCCTTTCTCTTCCCCCCCCCCTTTTCCCCCTCTCTGGTCTCTCCCCCCTCTCTCCCTCCCCCCTTTAGGGTTCTCTCCCGCCTTTGACCCTTCCCCCTCCCTCCCTCCCTCCCCCTTTTCTCTGGGCGGGAAAATTTCTTTTTTTCTCCCCCCCCCCCTTTTTTTTGGGGGGGGGGAAAACGGGAGTTTAAACCAAAAAAAGGGGGGGGGAAAAATTAAAAACCCAAAGCGGAGGGCAAACTTTAGGGGGAAAAGCCTTTCTGGGGACCCTAACCCCCCCAAAAAAAAGTCACCCCGGGAACCCCCCCCCAACCACCAAAACCCCCCAAAAGGGGGGGCCGAAAAAACCAGAAAGAAAAAACAAATTTTTTATTGGTTTAAAAGGGGATTCATTCCCTTAGTTGGCTTTTTTTTTTTTTTTTGGGGTTTTTTTCTTGGGGGTTTTTTGTTTAATTTTTAAAAGACGGGAATTTCCCAAAAACAAAAAAGACCTTCCTATGAATCGTACCCTTGAAATTTTTGGTCGGTTTTTTTTCCCTTGATTTCTACTATTTTTAATTTTGTTATTGTGTATCCTTTGACTCAGTTTTGTGTTTACTGGAAACGTGTTACCAGATGAGCGCATTACAGCACCAACCAGCTGATGTTTGTTTTGCAAACAGAGCATTGGCACTGTTGTTCCTCTGTCTCCATGATGCTGTCTTGTGATTATGTGATATCACAGCACTTGAGGGGTTTCATGCTGTGTAATCAAAAATGCCATGAAATTGCCATTGAGGAAGACTTGAGAAGGTGGGTTTTGTTTGGTGGGTTTTCCCCAAGTAGACATACCAGGGTTTGAAATTACATTTAAAGATAGGACATGTTTTTGCAGTCTTGGTGTGACAGTCAACAGGAGAGCTAATTTAGTGGTTTGTACAAGCCAGGTCATGGTTGTTGTGAGTTATTAGGTAGTGGAATGGAGCTAGGTGACTAGGAGTTGTGTCAAGTATGCAGAGCACGTCAAGAGGTGGAACCACATGACCACAGCCTAACACGCCATCACACGCATGTTGATTTTGTCCCCCCACACCAGACGTGATCAGGACATGCAGGTTGAAATATCAAAACAAACTCTGAACCAACTATATTAATTTGGGGACAGGTCGAAAAGCATGAAACATTTATGGCAATTTATCTAGCTAGCTTGCTGTTGCTAGCTAATTTGTCCTGGGATATAAACATTGGGTTGTTATTTTACCTGAAATGCACAAGGTCCTCTACTCCGACAACTAATCCACAGATAAAAGGGTAAACCGAGTTCATTTCTAGTAATCTCTTCTCCTTCAGACTTCTTCTTCTTTGGACTTTATATGGCGGTTGGCAACCAACTTTAAGGTGTGGACCTCAGTTCATCTTTCAATCACCCATGTGGGGATATGCTCCTAAAAACCAATGAGGTGATGGGAGAGGCCAGACTTGCAGCGCGTCAAGTGTCACAAATAGAACCAAGTTCTGGCTACGTAGACGCTCATTGACGCGTGCGAGCAGTGTGGATGCAATGATTGAATAACATGTATATGTAAATGTATGTGTGGTCAGCATGTAATTGGGCAGCATGCAGCCATAATAAACCATCATAACATTATTTTAAAGAAAGACAGGAGTAGTACCTACAATAACTGTGCAGGCTGTCCACCATAAAACTAAAGTGCAACAGAAACATTTAAGGCTATTAAAAGTAGGCGGTGCCCCTCTTGCTTACTGCACTGTACACAGTCGTCATGCATTCTTAGACAGTGGGATAATATTTTGGTCATTTTGGATTTGTCTCTGACTCTTTCCGACTATAGTATGTCTTTCAGAGGCATCAAACAGCTATGTAGCTCATGGGATAAGAGAGGGGTTAAGGGAAATTCCATTGTGGCTTGGCCTAGCCTGAGAAAGATGCCTCTATAGTTTCCATAGCAAATGTTTTGAGCTCGCTCTCTGTACAGTACACTACAGCTCTAGGTGGTCTGTTTAAAGAGAGCTGGGTTATAATCATTAGTTCACATCGTTGAAAACAAAAACGAGTGTTTCTTATTGGACAAGTTCAAGTAGTCCCTCCCTGTTTCAGTGTCTTTTCTTCCGTTTGGTGCCTACCCACTGGGCACACACTGGTTGAATCAACGTTGTTTCCACGTCATTTCGAAAAAATGACATTGAACCACACGGAATTGACGTTGAATTGACGTCTGCGCCCAGTGGGTATTGTACACGACCCTGTTGTCTGTAGCATGTGTAACATCCCTTAAGAGGAGAGGAAGTGGTCATTTTTCTGTGTGGCAGAGAACTGGGCTGGCTCTCCTCTGCTTTGGCTTGTGTTTACAGTCAGAGTAATGACTCTAATCACTGCTAAAGAACTCCATATGGACTTTGTCAGGATTCAGGAAGTGCTGTAACCAACCTCTTTGAACTCCTGGATGTCTAGCAGCACAGCAGGAACCTGGGTATAGATTTTGCTTTGGTGCATTGTTTTATGTAACCATGTTCAACAACAATCATGGGGTACCTGGCAAAGTAAGTATTACGTTAAGATGTAAAGAAATATTAAGTATTAAGAAGCATTAAGTTAAGTGCACTCACATGGACACACCTCTCCTCTCAATCAAATTGAATCAATCAATCACATTTATTTTATAAAGCCCTTTTTACAAAAGCAGTTGTCACAAAGTCCTATACAGATACCCAGCCTAAAACCCAAAGAGCAAGCAATGCAGATGTAGAAGCACAGTGGCTAGGAAAAACTCCCTAGAAAGGCAAGAACCTAGGAAGAAACCTAGAGAGGAGTCAGGCTCCTATGGGTGGCCAGTCCTCTTCTGGTTGTGCTGGGTGGATATTATAAGAGTACGGCCATTTAGGCCAGGTTGTTCAAGACTTTCATAGATGACCAGCAGGCTCAAATAATAACCACAGTGGTTATAGAGGGTGCAACACCCACTAGCACATAGAAGGGCAGGACACACTACATTTGAGTCTCAGAGAGGTCAAGTAATAATGGACAGTGAGTGGGTGTGGAAATGCTCTACCTCTTCGAAAGTCAGTTGTGAAACTGCTTTCTGAGTGGATTGTCCATTCTGATGACCTCAGAGAAACAGCTCCATATGTGTGTACTGTCAGTGCGATCCGAGGCAGTGGCCCCTAGACCAGGCAGCGCTATTTAAGACAGGATTATCTAAACCCCACAAAACCCAGCTCAGCGCTGCTGACAAGTCACAGTATGTTATTTTTCCCGCTGTGACAGACCTTATGATAGGTCCCCAAGATGATCACATGGTGCTGTGGGTTTTCTTTTCAGAGAGAGAGAGAGAGAGAGAGCAAGAGAGAGAGAGAGAGAGAGAGAGAGAGAGAGAGAGAGAGAGAGAGAGAGAGAGAGAGAGAGAGAGCTGGCAGGCAGGCTTAAGTCAAGAGCATGATGTTAAGATGTCTCTGGAGAAGTTCTCAGGGGCTGAGAAAGACAATTGTTAAGCCCTGTATGAAGTCAAGGGTCTTTGCAGCGATGTAGTGGTTGGTTGAGAAAGTGTCCTAATGCTCTGTGTCAGCTGACTGAGGCCAGGGAGAGAGGAAAAACTGCATTCCTCTGTAGAGGGATCTCACAGGTCTTATAGGTCTGAGGTTTCACAGAACACACTATATCTAATTAGTATAAATTAGGTGTCTTGTTTCTGATGTTAGGGGTCAAAGGGTGTGTTTTTGTATGTTAATGCCACGTGGTCACAACGTGTTAAGATTCTCACGTGAGCTCATATTTGGGTGTCAACACAGGTCTACTATTCTTGTCTTCAACTAGCGAGCTCATATCAGAAACTTTGTTTGAAATGGAGCAGTCGTCCAGCCTTTGGCTGCAGCCTGCAATACTGTATCTGACACTGAATGCAGATTAGACAACAGTGCAGTAGAAACAGTGTGTACCTATACCGGGAGTCGAACATGGGCCGCCTGAGTGAAAACCAGGAATCCTAACCGCTAGACCATATGGGAAGATGTTGCGTAACACAAGACTTAATTATTCTCCTTTATAGGGTCAATACAGATGAATCATTGATTGGTTGAGATTGAGTTGTTGAGCCTGTTCAGTGACAGTCTTCCTCCCTTTCCCTCCTCTCCTTCCCCCTCTCCACCTCTCTGACTCTTTGCTCTGTGTGTTGTTGCAGGTTAACCTCCGCTCCCCAGTGAACAATGAGAGCTATCAGGAGCGGCTGGTTCGCTTAGAGGGGGACAAAGAGTCTCTGGTGCTCCAGGTAAGGTGCTCCTGTCATCTCTCACCCCCACCATCATCCTTGCAGGATTATAGTTTAGCTTTTAGAGAGCGAGAGAGAGAGAGAGTAGATACAGGCCCTGACAATAAATCTCAGTGAGACAAAAATAATGGTGTTCCAAAAAAGGTCCAGTTTCCAGGACCACAAATATAAATTCCATCTAGACACTGTTGCCCTAGAGCACACAAAAAACGATACCTACCTTGGCCTAAACATCAGCACCACAGGTAACTTTCACAAAGCTGTGATTGATCTGAGAGACAAGGCAAGAAGGGCCTTCTACGCAATCAAAAGGAACATAAAATTCAACATCCCAATTAGGATCCGGCTAAAAATACTTGAATCAGTTATAGAACCCATTGCCCTTTATGGTTGTGAGGTCTGGGGTCCGCTCACCAACCAAGAATTCACAAAATGGGACAAACACCAAACTGAGACTCTGCATGCAGAATTCTGCAAAAACATACTCTGTGTACAACGTAAAACACCAAATAATTTATGCAGAGCAGAATTAGGCCGATACCCGCTAATGATCAAAATGCAGAAAAGAGCCGTTAAATTCTACAACCACCTAAAAGGAAGCGATTTCCAAACCTTCCATAACAAAGCCATCAGCTACAGAGAGATTAACCTAGAGAATAGTCCCCTAAGCAAGCTGGTCCTGGGGCTCTGTCCACAAACACAAACAGAACCCACAGAGCCCCAGGACAGCAACAGGAACATAATTAGATCCAACCAAAACATGAGCAAACTGGAATGCTATTTGGCGCTAAACAGAGAGTACACAGTGGCAGAATACCTGACCACTGTAAATGACCCAAAATTAAGGAAAGCTTTGACTATGTACAGACTCAGTGAGCATAGCCTTGCTATTGAGAAAGGCCGCCGTAGGCAGACCTGGCTCTCAAGAGAAGACAGGCTATGTGCACACTGCCCACAAAATGAGGTGGAAACTGAGCTGCACTTCCTAACCTCCTGCCAAATGTATGACCATATTAGAGACACATGTTTCCCTCAGATTACACAGACCCACAATTTTGATAAACTATCTATTGGGTAAAATACCACAGTGTGCCATCACAGCAGGACGATTTGTGACCTGTTGCCACAAGAAAAGGGCAACCAGTGAAGAACAAAAACTATTTGTATGTTTATTTATTTTCCTTTTTGTACTTTAACTATTTGCACATCGTTATAATACTGTACATAGCCATAATATGATATTTGAAATGTCTCTATTCCTTTGAACCTTTTATGAGGGTAATGTTTACTGTTCATTTTTATTTTTTATTTCACTTTGGTTTATTATCTATTTCACTTGCTTTGGCAATGTAAACATATGTTTCCCATGCCAATAAAGCCCTTTGAATTTAATATAATTTAATTGAAAGAGCTCCTCCTCACTGTCACCAGGGTCACGTCAGGTTAGTGTAAAGGCATTAGGGGGACAGAGACATCTCTGTCCACAGGCCCAAGTGACCTCACGGCTCTGCTGTTAAATTGAGAGAGAGACGGCAGTATATCACAGAGATGTTAAAATGTCCAGGGCAGGCTAGGGGGGCTGGGGGCTGGTTGTTTGTAGCAGAGGAACTCAGTCAAACAGTACGCCCCTAGTACATTGCCTCTTTTCCCAAACAAACGTGTCTGGATAATGCCTTGTCTTTGGTTGTACTGTAAACATCAGGCTCAAGTGATTTGTCAGGATGCTCCATGCTTTTTTACATCTGTGTAATTAGTAGCTTATACATTTGTAATGTAGTCTACACATTGCATATTAATATTTTCCCTATTCCTTCTCGGCCTCTGTCATGCCTTATCTGGCTCAACGTGTGCTGCTTAAAACTAGCCTTGTGCCAAAGTAGCCCTTTCTTTCGCACATGCCAGCATATTCCTCAAGCCCCTCTGACAAACGCTGCTGATTGGCCGACGGGCCTGGCCCAGTTGACTGAAAACATTATTGGGTGGTGCAGGTAAAAGGGAGGTGCTTGCTTTCCCTTTTACCTGCTTCATTGTGGGCTGGCCAGAGTTGTGGGCTAAGTTTACTCAGCTCAATTTTTGTAGTTCAGTGAACCATGGCAAGGGTAGGTTATCTTTTATGATATTTCACATTGGCTGTTGACATAGAGTTCTACTCCGGCTGAGGAATGAAGTGAAACTACCTGTGTGTTGTCAGAAGAATTAGCAGCATTAGCATACGGGTAGCTCCAGTCCTGACCAGGAGAGAGGAGGTATTTCTCAACATGAGTGACTAAGGTGTCCTTTGTGTGGGTTGGCTGTGTGTGCTATAGGTGAGCGTGCTCACAGACCAGGTGGAGGCCCAAGGAGAGAAGATCCGAGACCTGGAGAGCTCTCTGGAGGAGCACTACCACAAACTCAACTCCACTGAGAAAATGCTACAGCAGGTAAGAGACATACTACATTACCACTACTCTACCACTGCTCAGGTTAGAGAGCTAACTGCTGTTGTTTACCTCAACTTGTTTCCTACATAAACATAGTCTTGTTTTAGTCCTAGATCAACTGTATTTTGTAAATGTGTGATTAGAGCAATGTGTGATTAGAGAAAGGTTAAATATTACAAGGTTGCTCAGTAACAAATAGAACGGACAACCTGTTATGTGTGGTCCTCTGTAGCTCAGCTGGTAGAGCACGGCGCTTTTAACGCCAAGGTAGTGGGTTCGATCCCCGGGACCACCCATACACAAAAAAAAAAGAATGTATGCACGCATGACTGTAAGTCGCTTTGGATAAAAGCGTCTGCTAAATGGCATATTATATTATATTATTATGTTTCCTTTAGTGTGAAGTAAGTGTGTGGTAAATTAGTAACAGGAAGTGTGGTTTTCATTCATAACATTCCTACTAACATAAAATACTGTTGCTTGTGAGTGACCAGGGCTGGCTCTACGTGGTGGCAAAGCCAGGCAGGGACCCCCCAGATAGAATTTGTATATGGTATATGAATTACCCTGCCCGGTTTTGCCGATGTTGCACTGCCGGGCCTGCCAGTAGCGCTGACCGGGACAGAGGCTATTTGCCGGGTGTTAACTCTTTATCTGAGGAGGGGTGAGGGAGGGGGGATGTAATATTTTGTACTTAAAATCCAAAAATGCATTCTGATTGGGCACCTAGCCATACAATGTCATAAGGTACCACCTTCATTACCTTGTTTAGGAAGCTCATTGGATTTTTTCCCCCACTTTTTCAGACAGCTAATAATAGGCTAGCTAGTAACTTTGTTAAGTTTTGGTAGCAGCGCACTGAATAATTATAGCTAGTTGGCTAAGCTTTGGTTAGCACGGATATCCAAAAATGTCTGGGCACTGCCAAGAGCAAAGAAATTGAGGACCACCATGTCGAAAGCCATGCCAAGCTCAACGAACAGCCTGCAGGACCGACCACCGAGGTTGAGGACCCTAGCAGCAAATGTTTTTGTATAGTATCGTTTAGGCCTTTGCTTTTTACATCAATGCATCTTTTTGATTTATCTGTGATTCCTAATGTCATTGTTTGCTTTTGCGGGTCTAATTGTTATTGACAGATATACAGCTTTGCGTTATTTGGTGGGTATAGAGACAATGACCAATGTAGCGTAATTGGTTGTGCTCTGAGGTGAGCCCTGGCGCAGTGCTCCTGTTGTCCTGGCTGTCCACTATGGTGGTGCTGAATTTGGCAGTGCATCTAACGTTATCTTTTAATCGCACTGCCTTCTGTCCATGGTCCTGAATCGATGGTTACGGTGTGTGCTGTTTTAATGAGCGCATCTTGGGCAGTCTTCGTGGGGCTTCTCTTCAACATTGCGTGCTTTCTTGTGAGCAAAATGACAGTTGTTGTGTAATGGCTGCATTTCAGATAGACCCAGATTTTGTACATTTTGCATGTCGCAGTAGTAGGACCAATACCGTGTGTAGTCTACTAATTTGCATTATACACGGTCATTGTGTGATTGGCTACTTTAAAAGTGATGTTAATACTATGAAAACGACACTTAGCCCACTCTTTCGCCCCCTCCCTGCTCTCTTACTATAGCTTATAATATATATAAAATATTGCGCAACTGGAGAAGTGGCGGCTTGGTTACGCTCATTGCATAGTGTCACAAATTCGACAGCAATGTAGCCTATAGTTCTAATTATTGAAGTTGGGTTGTGGGTTCGATTCCCACAGGGGGCCAGTATGAAAAAAATTAAAAATAATGTATGCACTCACTAACTGTAAGTCGCTCTGGATAAGAGCGTCTGCTAATTGACTAAAATGTAAATGTAAATGTTGTAAGAATCTTTGATAGCCTAGTGGTGCTCATCCTGTCGAGCTGGCCTGTTCGTGTTGGTATGTGTAAAGTATGTGTAGGCCTATGGCAGCTATGGCTACATTTCCGATACCCTTGTATGGCGCATAGCTTTCTTGTGCTACGACGGTTGTTGATGTGTACGGCTACATTTCAGATACATTTTTGTACATTTAAACAGTAGTAGGACCAATCTTGTTTTATTATGGCTCTAATGCAATACTAGTTGTGCCCCCAATGGATTTAAAATGACCCCTCAGGCATGTCATCCTGGAGCCAGGCCTGTGAGTGACTCACCTCGATTGCACAAAGTTTGTCACTCAGAAGAGGGAAACAAAGTTCAATTTCTTTCGATCTTACAAGGTGACTTCCTATGGCTTACTGACTCCATTGTGTTATAAGAGCAGATATATTTATGGTAGTGGGCTCCACTAAAAGCAGACTGCATAATCTTACTATAATTACAGCATATTCTTTCTGAATTTATAACAGCACATAAACATTTTGGAAAAAAGAAGACCACTTCTTGTGGAGGTAGGGAGGGAGACAGGGTGAGAGCTGTCCAGTTTATGCTCTTACCGTCAGAGACAGGGGTGAGGGTGTGTGAGCGGAGAGGAGCCCTTGAGCAGTGTCTGCTGATGCCTCTTATTAGCTTGTATGTGCGTACCAAACATTGGCACACAAAGCTACCCAATTTAGGAATCAAAAAGCCCTCTGTTTGGGCTTTTCAACTGCTCCTTTGTCTAGTTTGTGATTTTGTCTCATCCAGCCGGTTTGCTCCCAATAAATGGCAATGGTAAAAAGTGAATTTGTTGTTTATCAGTTTAATTGACCTCAAATGCCAAGCAGATTTTGTTTTTTTATTTGGTTGCCTTTGTACATAAGCACAGGTCTAGGGGAAAACCTTTTTTCCCCCTCACATGGTCATGCAGAATATACAATAAATGCTTACTTATGGTTATATAGGAGAGTCCACAGCCACTGGTGTCTACTGTCTACAGTACTCTGTGGTGTGGCTGGTATATCTTAGCAGGACCCTTGTGTTTGACCTGCATTGATAACCAGAGACTGTCCATCTTCACATTGTTTGGCCCCATTGAAGTTTTAATGAGTTCTGGTCAAACAATGTGTGTGGTGTGATTAGGCAAGGTCAATGGCAAGGTTGATCTTTGTCACTGCTGTTCTGAGCCTGAAATGGAGATAGCTATTTTCTGAGTCTCAAGAGAATGCTTATCAGTATCTGCTGCCAGTTCCAGTAAAAGCTAATGGATGAGTGTGTTGGGCAGATTATTTCATCAATAGACTCATCAGACCTATACTTACTCAGAGCCACATGCCAGTGAGGGATGTTAGTGTCAAACAGTGTCTTCTTTCTATGTGTCTTAATCACACACATACACACACACGCACTCACGCACGCACGCACTCACGCACGCATGCACGCACACACACACACCCACATGTTTGTTTTACTATCCTTGTGGGGACCAAACACCTGATTCCCATCCAAAATCTTATTTTCCCTATACCCTAACCTAACCCTAACCTTAACCCCAAACCTCTAAACCTAACCCTAACCCTAAACCTAACCCCTAACCCTAACCCTAATTGTAAGCCTAAACCTAAACCTAACCCCTAAGTCTAAAATAGCCCCACTAGTCTGAATTTTCCTTGTTTTACTATCCTTGTGAGGACTTCTGGTCTCCACAAGGATAGTAAATCCAAACACACACACACACACGTATACACACATATACACAAAGCTCTTTGTCTAAGCAGTAAGCACCCATGCATAAAACAGTTTGTGTCACCACATATGAGATCACCACTAAGTAGGACTATGTCCTTCTGCATGGTTTACTGAATCTGCAGCGTACTGTTTGACATTCTTACCAGGGATGAATTCCACCCATAGATGTACTGTACATGCAGTATATAGTATACAGTGCTTTCGGAAAGTACTCAGACCCCTTGGATTTTTCCACATTTTGTTACATTACAGCCTTATTCTGAAATGGATTTAAAAAATATATATCCTCAGCAATCTACACATAATACCCCATAATGACAAATCGAAAACAGATTTTTTTAATTTTAGCAAATGTATTACAAATAAAAAACTGAAATAACTTATTTACATAAGTATTCAGACCCTTTGCTATGAGACTCAAAATTGAGCTCAGGTGCATCCTGTTTCCATTGATCATCCTTGAGATGTTTCTACAACTTGATTGGAATCCACCTGTTGTAAATTCAATTGATTTGACATGATTTGGAAAGGCACACACCTGCCTATATAAGGTCCCACCGTTGACAGCGCATTTCAGAGCAAAAACCATGAGGTCGAAGGAATTGTCCATAGAGCTCCGAGACAGGATTGTGTCGGCACAGATCTGGGGAAGGTTACCAAAAACACAGTGGCCTCCATCATTCTTAAATGGAAGAAGTTTGGAACCACCAAGACTCTTCCTAGAGCTGGCTGCCCGGCCAAACTGAGAAATCTGAGGAGAAGGGCCATGGTCAGGGAGTTGACCAAGAACCCGATGGTCACTCTGACAGAGCTCTAGAGTTCCTCTGTGGAGATGGGAGAACATTCCAGAAGGACAACCATCTCTGCAGCACTCCACAAATCAGGCCTTTATGGTAGAGTGACCAGACGGAAGCCACTCCTCAGTAAAAGGCCCATGACAGCCCGCTTGGAGTTTGCCAAAAGGCACCTAAAGACTCTTAAGACCATGAGAAACAAGATTCTCTGGTCTGATGAAACCAAAATTGAACTCTTTGGCCTGAATGCCAAGTGTCACGTCTGGAGGAAACCTGGCACCATCCCAACGGTGAAGCATGGTGGTGGCAGCATCATGCTGTGGGGATGTTTTTCAGCGGCAGGGACTGGGAGACTAGTCAGGATCAAGGCAAAGATGAACGGAGCAAAGTACAGAGAAATCCTTGATGAAAACCTGCTCCAGAGCGCTCAGGACCTCAGACTGGGGCAAAGGTTCACCTTCCAACAGGACAACGACCCTAAGCACACAGCAGGAGTGGCTTTGGGACAAGTCTGTGAATGTCCTTGAGTGGACCAGCCAGAGCCCGGACTTGAACCCGATCTATCTTTGAAAGAGACCTGAAAATAGCTGTGCAGCAACGCTCCCCATCCAACCTGACAGAGCTTGAGAGGATCTGCGGAGAAGAATGGGAGAAACTCCCCAAATACAGAACTTCAATAAATAATGATTGAATAAATAGGCCTACATAGGCCGCACTGCGATTACTAATGAATGAATGGAATTCTGAATGTTTACGGTTTCCGTGGTCAATTATTAATTTCACGTTCATTCTTGGGCTAGTTAGCCTACTGGCACAGGAGAGATCGCATTTGTAAAATGATACATTGTTGCACAGGTCGTAGAGGCAGACAGGTAGGTTTATCCAACCCTCAACTGTTGCAAACCAATTAATATGATGGGAAAATTAAGTGTACATGCTTTTTTCCCAAGGGAGATGAAGTTGAATTTCCTGCCTGGGCTGCGGGACAGTGGAATTATAATATTAACACATCATTGTATTTTGCAGGAGTTGTTGTCCAACAACTCCCGCATATCAACCAATCAGCATCCAGGATCCAAACAACCCGTTTTATAATGCAATATGTTCTATTTAATTTTGTGATTCCAACCACCAGAATGTCATAGTGACTCCATCCTCATTCTGAGAAAGGAAATATTCACCCAAGACTGTGTACAGGGCTCCAAAGCAACCATGACAACAAACACACACACACACTAAAGGCTGGTTAGTTTCTAGCTTGTTATCTGGCTAGCCACTTCAAATAATCATATCATAGCTGGCAACGTCTTAACTTTAGAAATGTTTTATTCATTATTACAGGAAAATAAACTCACAAGATCATTATTAACAAGTTTAATGGCGAGCTAATTACAGTAAATAGAATTTTAGAAAGTGCACTCTCATCGCTGTCCCAGTCAGGTAACCATGACAATGGATGCAGTGACAGGGTCAAAGTTGAACTTTATTCATCTGTCTGCAACAAGGAAACCAACAGTCGCAGCGACGGTCTAAAGACATTCCACCGGAGTATAAATTAAATGTTGTTTTGACCAGCGACACTTGTCGCATTCTAATTATCTACAAACATGTCGATAGACAAAGTATAAACCAGCCTAGCCTACCGCTTTCCTGCAGTCAAATGACGTAGTGGCCTCATGGGTGGAATGTTAATCATATTTTTCATAATTTCATAATAATCAACATTATTTATTTATTTTACGCCAAAATGTCAAACGGTTTTGATGTTTTTCAGTATTCTGTGATGTATATAAAGTGTAATATTGGGATGCAAACAATATTTGACATGGTACAGGTGTCTTCTTTTTTTAAGCCCATAACTATGTGTGTGAGGTGTATACTTTTGTTTCAAAGTAGATTTGTTTAAGACTACCAAGAAACAGTCGGTGTGACCCTGATTTAGCCCACTGCAGTAAAAGGTTAAGAAGGAATGTTTGCTGTTAGAGGGCGAGTCCAGCAGGATTGCAGGTTTGATAGCTTGACCTACCACACATCCAATCCCCATCCTTCTCCATGTGTCCTACTTGACTAAGCAGGTGAGGGTACAGTTAGAGAGTCAGTGGCACCTTAGCCTGGTCTAGTGGTTCCAGATCTGTTTGGGCTGTTTAGCCAACTATGGGTGTTGTATGCCAAACATACGGTATGTCTTAAGAGTTGGTTATACAGCACCAACAGATCTGGGACCAGGCTAGTGGCACCTTGGGTCTGCTGAGAGGTCTGACAGACTGACCCAGGGAAGGGAAGAGGTCCTGTTTCAGAGGGACAAAGGGGAGCTTGGCCCCGGACTCTGACCACTGTGTCTGAATATCATCATTGGTCTGATCACTGTCTGACTCTGAAAGCCTGAGTGGCATGTTGACCTAGTCAGGCTAGTCAGCCACAGCACTCTGTATGAGAGCCTATAGCAGTTCAACACAGTCCAATCAAGCCTAGATAAACGGATAGTTGGATATCAGTACGCCGCAGCCTGCAGAGCTAGTTAGGAGGGGCTGATAATCCTGCATGTGTTTCACTTCATAGTTAGTTCAAAGGAAGGATTTCATCAGGCTTAGCTAGCTAGCTCAGTGTCAACTGTTGGTCTTTTACGGAAAATACCTTCAAATTTCTTCTAAATGCTCGGCTGATCCCGGTGTTGGGTTGCAAATGTTATTTTCAATGTATTTCCCTTGAGCTGTGGTGATTACTGTATAGTGGTTTACAGTCCATCTACACTCTTAGAAAAAAAGTGCTTTCTAGAACCTTAAAGGGTTCTTTGGCTGTCCCCATAGGAGAGACCGTTAAAGAAACCTTTTTGGTTCCAGCTAGAATCCTTTTGGGAACCCAAAATGATTCTTCCTGGAACCCAAAAGGGTTCTATCTGGAATGAGAAAAGGTTATCCTATGGGGACAGCTGAAGAACCCTTTTGGAACCCTTTTGCCTGGTGGTGGGGAGTATATATATTTCATGTGATGTCACTAAGTGGCTCGTAGTAAAGTTGTGCTATCTCTGAACAATTTAGCTACTAAAGGGTATTGGTCGGGGTATTTAGGATAGCTTATTGCAGATCATGCATTTAGGCCTAGGCCTGTGTATTGGTGTCTTGGTAAGGCACACCTAATTCAGATATATAAATGATGGCAAGTTATTTTAAGGAGAGAGTAGTATTCTCTGGAACAGGAACCGAAATCAGCCTCCAGTGATGAGGGGTGTTGGGAAATCCAAAGGGCGTAAGGGAAGTGTGTTTACTGTGTGTGAAATCTAGAGTCAAAGCTCACACACCCACCTGCTCTATACACACAAACACACACACACGCACACATGCACACACGCACACTGCTCCTGTCCCAGGTCTTTTGAATATTTTAGAGTCTGTCTCTAACTTAGTGTTCTCTCTCTCTCTCTCTCTCTCTCTCTCTCTCTCTCTCTCTCTCTCTCTCTCTCTCCCTCTCTCCCTCCCTGAGTCAGACAGAGGAAGTAAAAATAGAGCCACATAGCAGTGTGTATATATAGCAGAGCAGGGCCCGGGCTCCCAGGCTGAACTGTTGGTTTGGGGGAGTTTTGTGCCCAGTGGAGCGGCACATTGACTTTATACTTCACTCTGATCGCCTTGGTCAGTGGATAGAGTGTGTGTGTGTGTGTAGGGGAGTTTTAATGTGTGTGTCTCTTCGGCTGTGTGTGCGGTACAGGAGCTGCTGAGCCGGACCACATTGGAGACCCAGAAACTGGATCTGATGGATGAGGTTTCCTACCTGAAACTGAAGCTGGTCAGCATGGACGAGGAACAGAACCAGAACGACAGCAGCGAGGACCAGCAGAACAAAGCTGAGGTACGGTACTGTAGTACAGGCTGGGAGGAGAGGACATGATGGGTGTGTAAGAATCACAGACTCTGGGCTGGTTTACCATAAACATTTACTTAAACTTGACTTAAACTCAGCCTGTTCTGAAAATGAATAGCACTGTTTTCTCCACTCAGGGCTTTGTATGGTGGCACCATATACCCTCAGCTGTTAGTAAGATTCCCACAAAGCCCTATGAAGTTAGCCAACTTTGTGTATTTCCTAGTTAGAGCAGGATGGAATGCCAAGTGAAAAACATAATTCCATCAGTAAGGAGTATGGTCTCAGTGTGGGCTCCACTCTAACCCCAAAGTGTAGCAACAAACGGTAACACTTTACTTGACACCCAGCATCATAACAGCTGACACAACTTGTCATAACCTGTCATAACATGGTCATAACACTGTCATGACCCTATATTTACACCTGTTGTGACATAAACTACATGACCAAAAGTATGTGGACACCTGCTCGTCGAACATCTCGTCGAGCATCCCCCCTTTGCTGCTATAACAGCCTCAACTCTTCTGGGAAGGCTTTCCAATAGATGTTTTAACGTTGCTGCGGGGACTTTCTTCCATTCAGCCACAAGAGGATTAGACAGGGACTGATGTTGGGCGATTAGGCCTGGCTCACAGTCGGCGTTCAAATTCATCCCAAAGGTGTTCGATCGGCTTGAGGTCAGGGCTCTGTGCAGGCCAGTCAAGTTCTTCCACACCGATCTCGACAAACCAATTCTGTATGGACCTCACTTTGTGCACGGGGGCATTGTCATGCTGAAACAGGAAGGGCCTTCCCCAAACTGTTGCCACAAAGTTGGAAGCACATAATTGTCTAGAATGTAATTGTATGCTGTAATGTTAAGATTTCCCTTCACTGGAACTAAGGGACCTAGCCCGAACCATGAAAAACAGCCCAGAACATTATTCCTCCTCCACCAAACTTTACAGTTGGCACTATGCATTGGGGCAGGTAGCGTTCTCCTGGCATCCGCCAAACCCAGATTTGTCCGTCAGACTACCAGATGGTAAAGCGTGACTCATCACTCCAGAGAACGCGTTTCCACTGCTCCAGAGTCCAATGGTGGCAAGCTTTACACCACTCCAGCCGACGCTTGGCATTGCGCATTGTGATCTTAGGCTTTTGTTCGGCTGCTCGGCCATGGAAACCCATTTCATAAAGCTCCCAACGAGCAGTTCTTGTGCTGACTTGCAACTGAGGACAGACGATTTTTACGCGCTTCAGCACTCGGCGGTCACGTTCTGTGAGCTTGTGTGGCCTACCACTTCGCGGCTGAGCCGTTGTTGCTCCTAGACGTTTCCACTTCACAATAACAGCCCTTACAGTTGACCGGGGCAGCTCGAGCAGGGCAGAAATCTGACGAACTGACTTGTTGAAAGTCACTGAGCTCTTCAGTAAGGCCATTCTACTGCCAATGTTTGTCTATGGAGATTGCATGGTGGTGTGCTCGATTTTATCCACCTGTCAGCAACAGGTGAAGGGGTGTCCACATACTTTTGTATATATAGTGTATATTGCATTATTTTATGGCTGGTTATGACACCGACATAAGAGTGTCAAAACCCACATTTATTCAAATTTATTTTGAATGCCAAGAAGTTTCCTTTTGTTTGAAAGTTTGTTTCTTAAGTACTTTGTTCTTGTAATGAATTATTTACAGGCATTTTCTTTTCAACATATTTTAAATAAATACACTCTATGACACTGTCATGAAGCATTATGACCATCCTGTGTCATTTTACTTGGACTAAGAAAATGCACTTTATGACACTGTCATGAAGCATTATGACACTCCTGTGTCACTTTACTTGGACTAAGAAAATACACTTTATGACACTGTGTTATGACCATCATACTCATATAAGCCAGATAGGCCTATCACGTACATGCCCTTATGTCAGTCATCAGTCAAAAAGAGGGTGTCTTGTCCTGCTCCTGAAATCTGCTCCTGCATTTGTCCCAGTCATCAGCAACAGAGCATTGGGGTAGGTGCATGTCTGACATCAATTTGTGCGCAATTACAATTATAATTGAATATATGCTCAATTTCATAAAATGTTATGTAACATAAACATACTGTTGACAAGTAGGCTATGGTGTAATGGAATGTTTTGCCTTGTGTGGTAGGTTTTGTGGCTTTTGACACTCTTATGTAGGTGTCATAACTAGCCATAAAATAATGCTAAATATGTCAGAACAGGTCTAAATGTATGTGTCATGACAGTGGTATGACCATATAATGACAGGTTATGACAAGTTAGGTCAGCTGTTATGACATATTATGACATGTATATGACCTTGTCATAACGTGTTATGACGCTGGGTGTCAAGTAAAGTGTTACCCAACAAACTATTTAGCTAGCCTAGTGTTTGATATGCAATGTGATCTCCTCGTAATGAACAGCGTCGACTGTCCTGACGAGAAGGCAAACTTTTCTGGCTATACCAGGCAGAATCGTGCATCATCAGCTCATTGTTATTGATGTACCAAAATGAATTTCAATAGAAAACAGCTTAAGCAAACGCAAAAGCATCTACTTTGCTGTTATTCTGGCTGCAGAGGTCGTGACTGTGTTAGCCGTAGCTAGTTGGATAGCTAGCAAGCAAAGGACAAGAACGTTGCCAGCGAGCATAGCAATGGAACATATAGAACGAACAACTGTGTTCCGTCTATAAATATCGAACTAATCGAACGAACGACTAGCAACCAAAAGATGGGAAAGTATGAATTCTCTTATAAAAATGAAAATGTAAAAAAGTATGCATTTCTACCGGTAAATGTGTGCTTTAGTATTGTTTTCTTTGGCAACTATGGTATAAGTAAGAGATAAAAGCTGACGTTCTGTACATTACCTTGGAAAAATTAACTCTGCAAAGGGACTCGGCTCCGCCTCCTCCATTATTTTCAAGGTAATGTACAGAACGTCAGCATTTATCCCTTACGTAAAGAGCAACAGGGGCTCGAACGGGACTCCCGAGGAGATCAAGCACTCTCCCCAGAAAGACAGGCTGTAGTTCCCTCACAGGATCACCTCCTCTGTAGGTCTGTCATAGCCCACTGTCTGATCACCATTTTATAACTTCATTAGGAACTGCCATGACCAGACCACCTGAGTCTCTTTTTGCAGTGTAATGGGCTAATACTGGACATAAGTCTTCTAGTTACTGTGAACACAGTTACGATTATCCTTCTAATATAAGAGCTTATACAACTGTTAGATTTCTGATATTAGTTCATTTTACAGTACCAGTCAAAAGTTTGGACACACCTACTCATTCAAGGGTTTTTCTTTATTTTGACTATTTTCTACATTGTAGAATAATAGTGAAGACATCAAAACTATGAAATAACACATATGCAATCATGTAGTAACCAAACAAATAAAAATGTATTTTATATTTTATAATCTTCAAAGTAGCCACCCTTTGCCTTGATGACAGCTTTGCACACTGTTGGCGTATCGCTGCAGAATGCTGTGGTAGCCATGCTGGTTAAGTGTGTCTTGAATTCTAAATAAATCACTGACAGTGTCACCAGCAAAGCACCCCACACACCATCACACCTCCTCCTCCATGCTTCATGGTGGGAACCACACATGCGGAGATCATCTGTTCACCTACTCTGCGTCTCATGAATACACGGTGGTTGGAACCAAAAATCTCAAATTTGGACTCATCAGACCAAAGGACAGATTTCCACCAGTCTAATGTCCATTGCTCGTGTTTCTTGGCCCAAGCAAGTCTCTTCTTATTATTGGTGTTTCTTTGCAGCAATTCGACCATAAAGGCCTGATTCACGCAGTCTCCTCTGAACAGTTGATGTTGAGATGTGTCTGTTACTTGAACTCTGTGAAGCATTTATTTGGGCTGCAATCTGAGGTGCAGTAAACTCTAATGAACTTATCCTCTGCAGCAGAGGTAACTCTGGGTCTTCCTTTCCTGTGGCGGTCCTCATGAGAGCCAGTTTTATCATAGCGCTTGATGGTTTTTGTGACTGCACTTGAAGAAATTTTCAAAGTTCTTGACATTTTCCGGATTGACTGACTTTCATGTCTTAAATTAATGATGGACTGTCGTTTCTCTTTGCTTATTTGAGCTGTTCTTGCCATAATATGGACTTGGTCTTTTACCAAATAGGGCTATCTTCTGTATACCACCCTTACCTTGTCACAACACAACTGATTGGCTCAAACACATTAAGAAGGAAAGAAATTCCACAAATTAACTTTTAACAAGGCACACCTGTTAATTGAAATGCATTCCAGGTGTCTACCTCATGAAGCTGGTGGAGAGAATGCCAAGAGTGTGCAAAGCTGTCATCAAGGCAAAGGGTGGCTAAAATCTAAAATATACTTTGATTTGTTTAACACTTTTTTGGTTACTACATGATTCCATATGTGTTATTTCATAGTTTTGATGTCTTCACTATTATTCTGCAATGTAGAAAACCTCTGCCTCGCCATTCCTTAATGAGCCCTTTGTGCTGCTTTGTTCATCACACCCAGCTGCTCTCAAATGGAACTGGAACATGTGAGTGTGAGACCTTGAAGAAGAGGGGACATGAGGAGGAAAGAAGTAGACTTTTCATGTGGCGTTGGCAGTGTGTAAAACTCTCTGTCTATGTGGGCATCACCAGAGCCTCAGTCCTGTCACAACTCCAGTCTGTCTGTGCCACAGAGGATCTGGCCTTATATTAAATAAACATGATTTAGTGTTGTGGACGAACGCTGAGGACCAGGGCACCCAAATGCCCCCTCTGCCCCAAAAGGCGATATAGAGACTGATATACAGGGACGGAAATTGTCTGAGGCATGAAAACTCGGCGGGGCCTAAACGAGATCTGCTGACAGACAAGCGGGCAGATTAGAAATGGCGCGGAGCAGAAACGCTGGCTGTGTTCAAGTCATTCTGATGAGCAATCATCAACTGCGCATATCGCTAAAGACATTTGCACAGCAGATCGGATACAATGGTGACATCTGTAGGAAGTCAAATCTCGATCGGAT